GAGAGAGAGAGAGAGAGAGAGAGAGATTTAAACTGTAAGTTAAAACATTTAAAAATTATAATTAATATTTAAAAAACGTATTATTTTTAATTTGGTTTGACTACATCTGTTGAATCTGTATTTTTATAATCATATTAAATCACTCACCAGGGTGATGTTGTGAATATATTTGACATTCTATGACACAAAAAATTAATAAAATGATAGCAAATACTTTTAAAAACATTTGATGGCTTTAAATTATTAAAATAAAATACCAATTAAAACACAATAATTATTACTTTAATTATTAACATAAATTTTTCATAATATTTTCTTAGAAACATATTTTGTTTTTTGTTTTAAATGTTTTGAAAATATATTACTAAAAATGAAATGTTAAAAAACTTATGCCTATTATACATTCATAAAATACATGCAATATTTCATCAAGGAGACAATAATTGTATAAGTTAATAAAATTTAATATAAAATTTCGTATTAAACTTACAATTAATAATAAAATTTTTATAAACCATAAAATGATTACATTATTACTAAATTAATTTCATTATACTTACATTACTTAATTAAAACTAAATATAATACTGTATGTTTAATGAAATAACTTATATATTTTTGTAGGGGTTTACAAAAAATAGTTTATATATAATATATGAATAGATAAGTTGAAAAAATATATATTTCTAATAAAGACATTAAATATGCAATTATTATAATAACATCAATAATAAGACAATTATTGAAACGTTTAGCTATTTCTGTGAGAAGTCGTGATTCAAATCCATTGAATGCTATGTTTTTCCCTATAATTCGCCGATAAATATGTTTTTCAAAATTATTATTGAATAGAAAAGCTATTATTTTCCGAAATAATAACTTAATAATAAAAATGATTTGAAAACCACGTATTGATAAACACCTATAATTTTCTCACTAATATAATAGTATTTTTTACTTTAAATTAAAAAACAATAAAATATGTTTTGAATATTAAATAGCATGGCAATTATAACTTTATTACATTAGTTTATGTTTAATGTTTTAAAATATAAATTTTTATGTTTTATTTAAATATATTACAATAGACATATTCAAGATTTTTAATTATATATCAATAAGTAACTAATTAATTTAATAAAATATTTAATTAAGCAAGCAAAAATAAAATAATTTCCTATATGTATAATTAAATAAATAAATAAATATTTATTACTATTTTATTTAATTTATATAAGTTATTACTTTTTAAACATTTACTACTAAAACATTTAGTGTACACTAATAAACATATTTAAAAAGTCAGTACACTATACACGAGTAAAATACATGTTTAGTGACCTAGTTTAATAAATCAAGTTTTATGGGCAAAACTTTTTAGTTTTGCGTTCAAAATTCAAATCTAAATGTTTTCTGTACTAAAAGACTACTTCTCACCAAAAACTACTTGTGCTAAACATCTCTCAACAAAAAACTGTAATACAAAACACACCCAAATGAATATCTGGTTCACCAGTATGTATGGGCACAGGTATGTCGTGTGAGAAGGCACAGGGAGTTGACGAGTAAATGTGGTAAATGTGTTGTCAGTTGCATATCAAAAATCATAAGTTTTTTAGGAGTTTTGAAAACAGTTTTGATTTGATTTTGAAAAATCAAGAAAAGTTTTCCTCATTTTTATTGAGTATTTTGTAAAAATATTTTTGTTTTTCATTCTCGCCATTAAAAAGTGAAATCGTTTTACTGATAGCTATTGAGCTATTGATTTGAATTAATTTAGTGTAAAAATTTATGTGAATTTTAACACAAGATTTCATTGAATTTTTGGCAATTTCTCAACGAATACCTCAAATAATATCTTTATTTAGACTTTGAATACGTGTTCATAGAAACTGTAAAACGGTTTTTTGCGTTCATTAATAATTTTTGAAAACTATTAATTAGTTTAAGTTAATAATATCAGTTATTAAAGTAATAATTTGTTTTATATAATAATTTTATTATTAAAAATGTGTAACAAATATATAAGCATTTTATTGTTTGCGATAAATATCGCTACGATTTTCGCGGAGGATTTAGGCACCGCTGGTAACCCTAGAGGTCAACACTGCCGGGGGTTTAATGCCGAGGAAATACGTGAGTATATTTATATTAGGGGGTTGTAGGGGGGTTACAAATGATATTTATAATTATTTTGATAAAAGTTATTTTGTATATAATTTTAACTTTAAAAATTTGGTTCACAATATCATTGAACTTGATTTGTAATTAGGCATGTTAATTATTTTGATTATTACTTTAAATACATAATTAAATGTTAGGGCAAAATAAAAATATATTTTTAAAATGAATGTCAATTGGTGCAATATTATATTTTATAAAATACATGTTTGCGTTAGATAAGTTGCAACTGTAAATTAAATTTTAAACCTTATACAAGTTTATGTTTTTAAATTTTATAATTAAATTGGATATCTTGACCGAGTTGTTTTAAATTTTTAACATGTTAAAATAGAAAATGTTTAAATTTTTTAAATTTTATAGCCTATCCCACGCCATACATCGGTAGTCTAGACAGGGCTGACCGATGCCTACAAATGTTCCCGAAGTTCAACACTACCGGTACCGCCAAACTGTCGTTCATCGGCCAAAACACGTACCATAACCCGTGTAAAGTCGACTGTCCCCTATGCGAGGATGAGTTGCCTACTACTAAGGATAATACCATAAGGTCATACCCTGCTCACATATCCATCAAGGATGACATAGTCCAGTGTCAGAGCTCGGTGGAGGTGTTTGAGCAGTATATGGAGGATGGTGTCAAATGCGGACCTTTTCATGTATGTCTATTTTTATATATATTTTAGGTTAGGTTATTATTATTAGTATTATTATTATCTACTGTATGGATAATAAACAGAGTGGATTTTAAAAATAGAAAAATGTAGAAAATACTAATTAAATACTTGTTGAATTGAATATGTTGATTTTTAGATCAAAATTATAACTAGATTTATGTAGCTAGAATCTAACACATATTTTTAATAACAACTTTTCTCCTAAAGTAAGTGTGTGTGTGTGAGTGAGTGAGTGAGTGAGTGAGTGAGTGAGTGAGTGAATGAGTGAGTGAGAGAGAGAGAGAGAGAG